ATTCTATTCTATTCTATTCTATTCTATTCTATTCTATTCTATTCTATTCTATTCTATTCTATTCCTTCATTCCAATATTTATTCTATCCCATCCTATCCTATCCTATCCGCAAACGATGATTTTAGATCTCTGTCGCACCCAAACAATATAGTTGATACTGTATTTGGTGGTGAATGTCCACACCGCACACCTCAATATTTGAACCAGTGGCTGCAAAGCAGTGGTGGAACTGAAAGTGTGAACATGCTTCACGTGCATGTGCGCACATTCTGTGCTTGCACGCGGCTTCAAACACACAACTATTTCATGCGCGCGGCTTCCAGCACATCTTCTCGGGCAGCCGCTGTGAGTGGAGCGGGTGAGGCATGGAAATCCCCTGGGCTGTGTGGGTGGGACAAGTGAGCCAGGGAGAATTAGATATATCGGGCTGGATAGAACCGAGGTGAGTGGGCAAACCCAGCCGGTGGTTGGAACTAGCGGTCCGAACTGGCAGTGGCCCACCTCTGGTGCAGTGGTTACAGCAGTGACTTGGACCAACATTAACCTCCCAAAGATGCTGGCTTAGCAGTGCAGGAGAAGTTGTTTCCCCCTTTTAATCTGGGGAGAAATTGAGAAGAAACCTCTATGCCAGTGCACATCCGTTTGATGCACTCGCTTGCCAGATGTGCACATCGTTCTAAGCGCCCAGTGGTCGCCCAGTGGTTGATTTGGTGACGGGAACACTCTGCCCTCTTTGCAGAAGTTGCCAAGCCAGGATATTTTTTAGCCACGCTTTACCGAACAGGCTGCCTTTGAGATTAATAATACAAAGTTCACAGCCAGCCGGTGCATCAAAATGCGTCATTTCATTCCTGGAACTTTCGTTTTGTTTATCATTTATCGAAAGGCTTCGGAGCGCCTTCCTTAAAATGTTCGTTTCTTCTCATTGGAGACGAGTGTTCCCTCCTCACATGGTTCTAGTTGATCAGTTTGCAGCCACTTTCCCCAGTCCATCCTGCCTTGCATCCAGGGATGGTCAGAACATGGCTAACCATTGATCAACTGACCTTCCCTCTCCTGCCAGCTCTGAGCACATGGAGGGCCGCGCATGTCCTCCCTTCGTTTTGGCCCTTCCTTCCATGAACTCAAAATTCCTGGAAATCAACCTGCACGGAGAGCCCCATGGGCTACTTCCTCTAGAGGCCTACTCCTGGCCTTTTGACACAGTCCCTGCTGATTTGGGTGCACACGCATAGACAGTATCCTAGAGTCATCGGATTGGAAGGGGTCTTTGAGTTCATCTAGGCCAACCCCCTTGTGCAGGGTCCAGTAGAACGATGTGTTTCTCAGCAATGTTTATAGACAGCTTTGTTCTAGTTTGATCTACATGTGGACCAGTTTGGTCTGGTGGTTAAGGCACCAGGCTAGAAAGCAGGCAACTCCGAGTTCAAATCCCGCCTTAGGCATGAAAGATGGTTTGGTAACTTTGGGCCAATCCCCCAGAGGTAGTGAGTTCTAGTCCTGCCTTAGGCACAAAAGCCAGCTAGGTGACTTTGGGCCATTCACTCTCTCTCTCAGCCCAGCCAACCTCACTGGGTTGTTGTTATGGAGAAAAAAGGAGAGGAAGGCAAGTTGATAACTCAAGTGAAAGAAAGGAAGGAAGGAAGGAAGGAAAAAAATGTGTTAAGATCTGTAAACATCAACTCCCAGAATTCCCCAATGTCTGCTGGGGTGACAGGAAGAAACCCAGATAGTTTGCAGCAGCAGACTTAGATCTGATCCTACAGTAGTCCTCGACTTAAGACCACAAGTGGGAGTGGAATTTCCATTGGTAAGCAGAGGGGCGTTAAGTGAATCATGCCCAATTTTATGAGCTTTCTTGCCATTGTTAACTGAACCGCTGGGTGGAAGATCATTGAAGAGAAACGGCTGGAAAATGCCCCCCAAAACAGCCGAAAAACGGGTGGTGGGATTAGCTAGTTTGTCGAACTGGGCAGAATTTTAACCACCAGTTGAATCCCACCTCTGGAGAAATCCAACCTAGAACTGAGGAAACATTTCCTGACAGTGAGTACAATCGGTGGAACGACTTGCCTGCAGAAGTTGTGGGTGCTCCAGTCCTGGAGGCTTTATAAGAAGAGTCTGGACAGCCATTTGTCTGAAATGGTATACAGCGTCTTCAGCAGGGGGGTGGACTAGAAGACCTCCAGGGTCCCTTCCAACCATGTTATTCTGTAATTCTGTAATCCTATTACCACCCCCCTCCCAGCAAGTGGCGAAACCTCATCCCTTTTGCCCGCGGTTTTAATTCTGCACTATTTCAGTGATCAAGAATAATGTCGACTTGGATTGCGCGGATGCTATGATCCCATTTTTAATCTCCTTCTGTTTTTCTTCCCGAATGCTGCTCTTGGCAGAAGAGCAGAGAAAATTGATCACAAAATGCATTTCAGAATGGTAAACCTGGGGCTTAAGCAATGAGAGGGCATCCAAACCACCCCCAACCCCCCGCCAGCCCGATCTGCTTAATCCAGATTATCAAGCAATTTGGCAGCCGCATTTGCAAAGCGTGGTTCGTTTTCACCTGGATTAGTTTCCTGCAGAATTTAGCAATCTTGGACAAAGCCCTGCCTATTAGCTTGACTGATGATTCGTGCGTTGTTGCACAGACTCGGAAAATGGATCCGTTCACAGGCTGTTATAATCCCAGGCTCCGTTTTTGTGCTAAATCCCAGGCAGATTATTTTTATGAATTGCAATGAAGCAGCTCAGCCGGTCAGAGGATCAAAAGAGATTCGCTCTTCCAGCACTGGAGCATCTCCTGAATGTAGAGATAACATTTTTGGGTCTTCATTGTTATTGTAATTCTGTTTCTTTTCCAGTTCCATGGGTGGCAATTTTGTTTTTTCCCCTGATTTATGAAGGCCTTGGAGATGCAAGCCAATCGGCATTGACTGTGGTCAGAACAGTAGATAAATACAGGGGAGGGGGAAGGAACGGAGAGATCTTTGATTGGCAAAACAAGTTGTTTGCAAGGAGGTCTTTTGGACTTTTGCCTCTGGAGGAGACAGGGATGTGTGTGTGAGAGAGAGAGAGAGAGAGAACAGGTCATTTCCTTTGCTGGTCCTGAATGGCAAAATAAACTGGGTTGGCCTTGGGTGCAAATCAAAAGACTTTTCCAGCTTCGGCTGGTTTTTCTCTCCTGATGAACCTCTGGCAGGTGCCAGGCAAGGCAGGGGTGAGCAAGGGCTTCCTAATCCAAGGGTGGACCTTGCACTCCCATTCCCATGGGTCAGTGGTCACCTTGGCCGAGGGACGGCCAAGGCTCTGCTTTGCAGCTGGATCCAGAATGCCACGACATGACACCGATGGGGAGATTACGTGGCAATAGCTTGCGGTGTTGGGTTGAACTCAGCACGTCTGCAGAGTTAGAATCAGAACCAGAGATTTGGACGCATCCTTGGAGGTCTTCTAGTCCAGGGGTCGCCAACCTTTTGGACCTCAGGGACCACCAAACTCACCATTTTAAATCCCGCGGGCCAGAGACCCTGGGAAAATCCCCCAAAAAGTCTGCAGGAAAATCCCCCACCCCGTTTTCCTACTGATCATTCTTTGGGAATGATCCTTTGCAGGATACCATCTCCAGCTCCGTTCTCAGGGGGAGAGAGAGAGACTTTTGGCTTCATGCAAGGAAAGCAGCAGAAGCAGCAGAAGTCTTTTTTTTCTCTCCCCCAAACTCTGCCAGAAATGAGTCTTTGCCAGC